TAATAGATATAATTATATATATATGTATATAATTATATTTATTAAACTCAACAAATTCAATGAATTTAACTCAAGCAATACAAGACAGCGTTGAGTTGTCATGAATCATAAAGGTTCTAGATGGTTATGTATATCTCATTGTCGGTCCTAGTGAAACTAACTCGAACTTGAATTATCGTAAACACCCATCGTAAACACCCAGTGGGTGCATTCGTTTATGCAGTTACTGCCGCAGATGTCGTTCGTTTACTCCGCCTGCGAAAATAACTGCAGCGCAGTTTGTCGTTCGTTTACGCAGGGATGTATCTCATCTGCGCAGGTACTTCGGAGGTCCTGCTCTGGATGCTCTGCTTGCAGTACTGCGTAAACGAATACACCCATTGCGAATCTAGCTTAATTATCTGCATCCACATTGATTAATTAAAATGTGAAAATAGATTTTATTAAAATAAAAATCAAAAAGGGGTAGAACAACTCCTCGAAATCGATCCCGCAAAAGTAAAAGTAATCCAAGATAAGTATTATATAATGGAAAAATTTTTTAAAGTTTACGATATTCGTATTTACAATCAAATTAACCTAAAAATGCACACGTATTAAATGTAGATTGAAAATCTAAACACATTATAAAATTCTAAACTGTCTGAATTTTCTATAAACAAATTTTGTAATGTTTTGGGATTTGTTTTTGTAAATTTATCTCAGGTACAGGTTCTGCTGCAATAGTTCCTAACCATGTAATGATTTCGTCTACAGCTGATATAGAAAAAGGATCAGAGAACTCTCAATTTAAGAATGTTTTGATCCCGTCTTCATTATTTTCGCAAAATTTTGTATAGACACAACGTAATGCAACTTCGCCAATGCTTTTAAATCCATTCACGCAGCCATTCACGCAGGTGTGCGTTCGGTAAATTAGATAACGTGACTAGCAGATGATAAACGCAGTGGATGCGCTAACCGCTGCATAAACGAATGCACCCAGTGTGTACATGATCCGAGTTCTAGTAACTTTCTCTTAGTCCGAGATCTCGGACTGAGTTCTAGTATTGTGGACACAAGGGGTGTTTACGATAATTCAAGTTCGAGTTAGTTTTACTAGGACCGACAATGAGATATACATAACCATCTAGAACCTTTATGATTCATGACAACTCGACGCTGTCTTGTATTGCTTGAGTTAAATTCATTGAATTTGTTGAGTTTAATAAATATAATTATATACATATATATATAATTATATCTATTAAAGAGATATACCAACATACATACCAACATTATTTGTTTCTTTCATAGACTGATTTGCAGTTAACTATTTTTTATTACAATAAAATTTGCTCTATAAACTCAACAAATTCAATTAATTTAACTCAAGCAATACAAGACAGCGTTGAGTTGTCATAAATCATAAAGATTCTAGATGGTTATGTCTATCTCATTTTTCGGTCCTAGTGAAACTAATAGCGTTTCGAATAAACGGAGTTTGAACGATCTAGGGTTGATCAATCACTATTTTACTATAAATGCAAGTCTTTCATTGGTGGAGAGGTTGCAATGACGTCATTAACCAACCCTGGGTCGTTCAAATCCTGTATAATCGAAAACGCTATAACTCGAACTCGAATTATCGTAAACACCCAAGGCTTTAGAGCGCTAGTGTTCTTCTTGTTGCTCGCGATTGGCCGATTCCCTTTGGCTAACAGCCGCTCTCGGATTGGTCCGTAAGGACACGTGACTACGTCTACGCACGCGGGAGCGACGAGGCGAGAACAGAGAGTCTTTTGTAACGATAGCTGAAGTAAGGATCAGTGGCCGGCATAGCCGGTGAATAAAGTCTTTTATTTAAAAGTGAACGTATCCTATTGCTCTCCCAATCTGCTTATCCTGACGAATCACATTCATTTCCTGACAAATCAGCTCTCAATAAACATATTCAGGTCTTTACAGTACATTTTTCCAATCACTTATTCAGTTATTAAAAGTTCAATCTATTGTATTTTTTTGTGATAATCTGATATCATTAATCAGAACTCCCGACTTGGATTCGCATTCGATATACATTTAGGAATACGTACAGATAAGCGTGGATGCGCTTATTCACGAAACGTTTGCGTTCTGCATTCTACGCTAATATGCCATGAAGTTATTGTAATAGCCAAAAGAGCGAGCGTAGCTTTAAAATATCTTTACGATACCAAAATTTTAATTACTAGTTCATTTATTATATACAAAATTAAATTCATAAAAGATAAAAGAGCATAACAATTGTACACAGTTTTATAGATTTCTTCCGTTTTATTGAAAAATGGTTAATAAAAACATAAATTATGCGAGTAAGATTTCGCTCTAATATTTATATTTTGATCTTTTTTTCTCGATTGCGATACAGAAAATACTGCATACGCTGTCTCGTTAAGATTAATAATTCTTTATAATTCGTTTGCGTAAATTGAAAAAGCGCTAAGTAATTTACAATTGAACAAATAAACTAATATTATCGGACATTTCTTAAAGAAAAAAATACAATATAACAATATTAATAGTCTTGTTTTATATAATATTGATAATAACTGTATCGTATATTAAGTGAATACTACGTGCGATAATGCAACTTTCTGGAAAAGTAAATTCCACTTATTAGCAATTGATTCGCATTGCAAGTCGAATTGTCGCACGTAATACAACGCGATATGAATTATTGCATGGCACATTCGCTGAAAAGAACATCTTATACAGTTGCATGCTTTTCCGTGTCTGCTACTACTTATCCGAATTGTTCTGCTTCAGTATCCGAATGTGATTTTATAGCTGTTTCATCAATTATAAATCATTTGATAATTTATTACACAACCGAATATCACTGAGATAATTACTAACACACGAACTTCGATTCGTCGAAATATACGAAAAATCCCTGAAGCTCTTATCGTGTTATAAATTGATACGCAGCAACCGATCGTCCTCTCACTCGCTATTATATCTTTACAATTTACAAATATAATTTGATACATCATCGAAAAATACATTCGCGCCACACACGTATATCACCATTTCTATTCGCTCTTTAGAGTGATTTCTTTCTTTTTAATAAATCTGGAAACTTGTTAAAAACTTAAACAATTAAAGTTTAAACAATAATAATGACGATAGACTAATAATAATAATTAATAATAATCAATCAATTTTATAGTAAGCACAATGTTACTTAAAAGTATATAATAGTATTTAGTGTACAGCAAAATTATTAAAAGATTTCGCACTATCATAAAATATCTATCAACTATTGGAAAATATCTATGGAGAAATGGCCTTAACATATAATGCAGATGTAATATCTTTCCTTTTTCCCCTAATTTAAACATATCCAAGTTTCGATTTTTGAGAATACTCTATGAATAGATAGATTTATTCCGGAGAGACACAAAAATAGTTGTGATTTTCTAAAGCAATCGCATTTTGTTTGTATTTCGCTATTAGAAATTACTTCGATGTGTTCTGCATTTTTAAAGAAACTATTGGTGTCATTATACCTAAATTTTTGATATAACTAATTATTCTCATATTATATTATTCGTATAATCAATTGTTTTTTAGATTCTTGAATGTTTCACGATAAATGTGTAACTTTGATGCAAAAAATAGAATAAACAACCATCTTTCTGTGTCATATTGTTTCATATTTTTGATAGATATTATTATGTTAGAAGAAAAATCGGCTTTTAGTATTTATTGTGTAAGATATGGAGTAATAATAAAAAATAAAAAACATTAAAATAACAATTTTTTTCCTTTTAAAGCAATATAAGATATGTTCAAATTCATTTATATAAATTCCCTTAACATGGAAGAATTTTCATATTGTATATTATATTATGTTGCACTTTTGGAAGAAATACTTATTGAATATATACTATTATGTGAAATATGACACATTAGAAACATACCAAATAACATAAAATGAATAGAAATGTAAATTATATATAGAAATTAGAAATGCTTTTTTATATAAATATATTAACTTCACAATTTATAAAAAATGTTTCAAAACTATTGCATTGATCATAAAGCTTTGTTTTAAAACAATGTGAACGTAGATTCTGGCTAGTTTTACTGCAGTTTTAAGATTTATTACTATTACATTTCATATGTACACACGCAAGATAAAATTTAAAGCAAGCGTTTACAAAATTCTGTCAATTGTAAACAATATATAATTACTGTAAATTTCTCCATAAAAAGACTAACGCTCATATATTTGCGTAAAATACTCAAAAAAATAATATAATGCTCTCTATATACTACATGAATTATAATTTCGCGATTGATGAAATGTGATACAAATATAATACAGAAAGTAGTGACGTTAATACGTCATATCACCGTAATATTTCAACATGTTTCAGATCTCGTCATATATCCAGAACTAATATAAACTTATATAAGATCGTCACACAATACAAAGATTAAACTAAATAAACTAGATGCCTATATTCACATGAATATCAGTTTCCGTTATTACGCTATCATTACGCTATAAGGATAATGGCAATATTTGGGCTAGAACTAAACTTCTATACCAAATGTGAATATGTTACATATGCTTGGTGTATTCTGTACGTATGTATATATGAAACTCTCTTTCTATACTTACCTAATATGTATACTTTATATATATGGCTTATCATTATAGTTACAGTTGATTATAATTTTAATTCGATCGTTTCTCACAGTATATATCTTTACAAGATTCTTCACTGTTATCGCAGTGAGACGTCCATTTGATTGACATTGATTGGCATAACAAATTTTCGTGCGTTACTGGTTGTATCGTTGAACCTGTAACAGCTTGGTGCTTTTCGCATTAAACGTAAATAATCATTATAATACCACTAAGACGGTTCGCTGCCCATCTGCACGTCGCTAGAAGCTGTTTGAGGATTGTTTTCGATATTCTGCATAGGCACCTGTGATTCAGAAATATTAGCAGACTCTTTAGATGTAAGTACAGTAGAATCATTGGCGACTGTCGTCTCTGTTTTATGATATTGTTTTATTGACGACGACAATGCTGCTTTCGGTTTCGCTTTTGTTATAGCTTGTTGCTCCATGCTATCAATTTCAGCCCAAATGCTTCTTGCTTCCTTGAAAAGCTAAAAAAAATATTTATTTTTGTTTAATAATTAATATCATTATTTCTTATTAAGACAGCAGTGAGAGATATACTCACTTGATTCAACCATGGTTCATCTGCTAACAATTCATTCAATATTTTTGTTGTGTCCTTGTGCGGAGAAGCTGCTCTTTTATCGGCCACTCTTCTCGTACATTCCAAAAACATTAGATACTTTTGATGAGCAACTTTATTATACAAAGTTACCTTTTTTTGGCAAATGCGGCATAATAAAAAAGCCTAGTGTAAAATAAAAATAAGTATAGAGATTTTGTTATATTATATTATATTATATTATATTATATTATATTATATTATATTATATTATATTATATAATATTATATTATATTTATATTATATTATATTATATTATATTATATTATATATTATATTATATTATATTATATTTATATTATATTATATTATATTAT